ATATATATATATATATTTATATAAGGAAAACCATTAAAAGTAAGTAGGGTCATGTGTCACTTTTACAAGTCTTTCCTTAATATTTTTTTTAACTATCATGTGTCACTACTTTTTTTATTTAGTAAATTTACTATTTTACTTTTAGTTTTTTCTCTCTTTATTAATTAATTTCAGCTTAATATTTTTTACAATTCTTCATTAAATTTAATTTCCGCCTAGCATGCACTCTTCTTTGTCAATTTTATTTTTTCCCCCAACTAACTAATCAAACTTTAATAATTTAATTACAATTTTTTAGTTAAAAGATATACTTACTAGTTTATGATGATTTTAATTTTTAAAATATATATATATATTAAAGTAAAAACCATTTAAAATAAGTAAAATCATGTATCACTTTTATAAACTTTTCTTAATATACTCTTTTGCTACTGTGTCAATACTTTCTTTATTTAGTAAATCTACTATTTTACTTTAATTTTTTCTCCCCTTATTAATTAATTTCAGCCTAACATTTTTTACCATTCTTCATTAAATTTAGTTACAGCCTAGCATGCACGCTTCTTTTTCGTTTTTATTTTTTTCCCCAACTAACTAATCAGACTTTAATTACAATTTTTCAGTTAAAAGATATATTTGCTAATTCACTATGGAATTAATTTTAAAAAAAATTCTACTATAGTATGTCTATTAGATGTTTTTATTATTAATGCAAATTTAATTTTAAATCTTATACAAATAAAAATACTTTAACAAAATACATTATAAGAATATTAAGAATTCTTATAATATCTATAATATCCTTTTATGATGTAATAGTTAAATTATTAAATTTTTATCAATTAATTTTAATTAAATAAATTATTATAAAATTAAAAAATAATAATCAAAACTCTCTCTATTTTTCTCACTACATAGTTTATTATTAGATATAAACATATTTTGCTCAATTCTAAATTACTTGATATTTAAAATATTTTTTGTTTGATTAATACAATTAAAAATTTAACAATTGAAATATTTCACTTTGGTTAATAAGTAATGATTAGAATATTTTGATTAATTACATTAATCGTATAAATAAAAAAAATCAAAATCTTAGTAATTAAAACGAAAATTTTGAATTATTTTCAAGTATTAAAATAAAAACCATTAATCAAAGTAACAAAAGAAAGGAGAGGGAGAGTTTTGTTTATTTTTGTTTTTTAATTTTAATATTATTTAATTGAAATTAATAAGTATTTAACATCTATATATATTATAAAAAAGAAACCACTTAAAGCAAAAAAGTTTAATTTGTCACATATTATATTCATATGTCTTTCTTAATTTATTATTTTTTAACACTTGGTTTGATTTTTTTTTTTCTAGTAAATTTCTATCTTTTGAATTTATTTTTAAATGTGATTATTATTATTAAGGTTTATTTAACATATACCTTCAAGTTACAAATTAAGAATGTAAACAGAGAAGCTTATTTTGATATTATAGAAATTATTTTTTTTTGTATAAAAATATAAATAGTATTCTAAATTAATGCATCAAAATAAGTATAAGTATAAATTAAACTTTTTTTATAATTTTTTATTAAAAACATTAATATATATTAAAAAATTATCTAAATATATTTTACATTAACTTTTAATTTATATTTAATTTTTAAAAATAAACAATATCTTATTTAAAAAATAAAATTTATAAAAATTAAAAATATAAATTATTTTATTAAATATTCTCATGCGAAAGCTAGTATGCTCTTTAGTCTAATATAATATTCTATGCACTCTCACACATTAATTATACTTATATAACAAGATGATATAATTATAAATTCATAATTTTATATAGTATTGTAATTATAATATTTTTTTATTTTATTTCCAATTTTTGGGTTTATGAAATTTTTATATAACATCCTTTTTAATCTACATATCTTTAAAAAAAAAAAACAAAAACAAAAACAAAACAAAAAACAAGAAAACAAAAAAGAAAAAAGGAAAAAAAAAATTGCCATCATTCATCAAATGCGCGCGAGCTGACTTCCAGCGGTCTTTCTGCAAGTGTAGTGTGCAGAAATGGCGATCAACGGCAAACTAGGAAGAAGACGATAACAACAGCTGCATCAGAGGTTTACAGGTGGCGCCCTTCGACTTCCCTTTTCTCATCAGATTTTCTTCTTCTTCATATAAAGACTTCCCTTTTACTATATTTCTTGTTATCTACCCATCCAATTTAGCTCCACCAACAGTCTGAACCCATCAATGCTACTTCGTTTATCTTTCTTTACTTTGAGGTGGGTCTACTTCTGTTGATAGAATCATATATGAAAGGAATTTTTTTTTAAAATGGAAATTCCTGATTAAGATGTGATGGTATTAATTTCATTGTTAATATGGATTTTTAGTTTAATATTTGGTACTGAAATTGTGTAATACATCAATAGGCTTTTTCTAGACATTTTTAATTAATTTGGATGCACTAGATTATTCATTATGCATTAGAGTTTAGTTCCTAAATTGATGGGAGTTGCTTTTTTGTGCACTTTTAGATGGGATGAAATATGGATGTAGAATTTGTGCCCATTTTAATTAACAAGTAATAAAAGATTAAATCATTAGAGATTATCAGCTTATAGCTATTCCTTGAAATAAGTTTCATCAGTTATTGTGATTCAAATCTTTCCATGTCCTTAATATTAATTTTGGAAATTGAGTATTTGTTCCTACTTTTCATGGAATTACACTTTATCCTTTTGGTGATTGATTCTTCATTGCTTGCAATTGGACCAACTTATAATGTCTCTCCTTTTGCACTCCACGTGATAGTCATGGAGCTCTTGATTTAAAAAAGAAAAAGGGGCGAAGAAAATGCCTGTTCCTTAGGTATAAGTTTTATGTTCTCCATTTCTGGAGGTAACTTTGTTATGTCTAAGATGGTAGTATGAGTGCTGGCTAGTTGGAGAGAAGTCTCTCGTAAACAACGGAATCATTTTGTTTGGATCATGGTGCCTCTTTATTTACTATGGTGTTTGTCGTGTGAGAGACGTATTAGAGCATTTAAAGGAGTAGAGCCTTCTGTTATTGATTTGAAGGCTAAGGTTACAGGAAGTTCATTAACTTGTTTTTATCATATTACTTGACTTGATTGTTAGACTAATATTCTGACTTAATTAAATTGTTTCTTCTATTTATTCACATGGATTTTCTATTCGTTGTTTATATAGAATTTGATTTTCAGAATGAGACGAGGTTTCATTGTGTTCATGTGACATGCTTCATTGCAGATGAGAGCTAGAAGCTAACAGTATTTTGAATTTCCAATTTTTTTTTCAGGCGCAATTAAGGAGATGTGGTTGGCTGAAGTGCACTCATCATGTGTGTACTCATGGCAGTGACTCTGCTAAAGCTTTCCCTAATACAGTGAGCCTTCTGCTTCTTTCCTTTATTGCTTTTTCCAGCTTTATTTGATTACTTTCTTGAGCATAATAGGCATCAGTTGCTAATTCTCCAAGTTTTGATTTTGTGCCCATGAAATTGAATTCAAGCAAGCTCTAGATCAAGTTCAATCTGCCCAAGTTGCAAAATGATTATGTAATTTCCATATTTTCCTTGGTCAAAACTGATTAACTATAGACTGTACAGTGACCAATTGGCATTCTTCTCCATTGTTGAGTGAGATCCACTGCCAAGAGACATTGAATAACCGTTTTGTGCCAAACCAGTTGGGTTGGACTTCACATATCTAACCCTCTTTGCACATAAAAAATCAGAAAAATTCATTTGTGCTTTTCTTTTTCTCTGCAACAGATGGCTGCATATAATTTTGCTATTCATTCTCAAGAAGACTGCATTGAGATTGATGTTTCTCATTCATCAGTTGGAGTTTTGTTTGCTCTCCATGATAGGTATCTTTGCCCTCTGAAACATGCAACAGTTCTTTTTCTGTACATGAGGATAGAATTTCCTCATACCAGAATAGCACCTCTTTTTTTTTTTTTTTCCTCCATTTTTTATGTTGACGTCATAAGATCATTTTCCGACTCTTTGGATAATTGATTTTACTTTACACGGGCAGCGATTTGCAGTAGATGTCTGATACCAGCACACCTAAAGTTGGCTACTTGAGTATGAAAAAGGTAAAAATGCTGATTTACTTCCTTCTCTGCTCTATTAACCATATTCTAAGAAATCAGTTTTATCCAGTCAATGCATCAACCGGTGGAACTTAACCATTCATTCTATATTAAAGTCCCTTGTTTAAACATGAAGGAACAAATATGAAATGAGCATTAACACGTGTTCTATCAGATTTTATGTTTCAGTTTTATCCTGTTAATGTTTTTATCTTCTGCCATGAATTTTTCCCATCACTTTTCTTCAACCATATTTAATTTCATGATCTGATTAGAGGATATTGAGTAACTTTGTCCTTGCATTATCTCATTTAGTTTTTCTAGGCACTATATTCTGTTAAGTTGTGCTTGTTATGTAAAGAGAAAGAGCCTTCGTTTGATCTTGAGTGAAAGGGAAAGTTTCTGAGGAATGCTCATAATTTCATAATTAGGAATGATTTGTAAGACTTTCTGCCTTGTCACAAAAAGTTTAGTTTATATATATCTAGATCGCATGTTGGAAGTATGTTGGAAACAATCTGAAAATAATGTTGATAAAGATCATATGCTAGTTTTCTATTGTAGAAAAAAGAACCGGATGCCTCCCATCAGTCTGACCATCACAAAATTTCTACAATTGAAGATGCATTAATGGTATGTGTCCAAGATAGAGTTCTATCCTCTGTACTGTTTTATTGCTGTTTATTACTTTTGCTGAAGGTTGGTAATGAGTTCTCTGATTGTGTAGTTTGTCTGGATGTTTAGTCGATACCAGGTTCAGTTCAGCAGGTGATCCTAGATGCAAAGGATGGACCTCCATCACCTGGAAAAGTCCTTGCAAAGGATATTCTTACAGTCGTGAGTTTTCATTTGCTTTCACTGTCCTTTGTCTCCTTTCTTTTAGATTTCTACTCTAGGAAAATTTTCAATTTTTTGTTGTTCTCGGAGAGAGTCACTATAGCTTCCAGTGTCTGATTCTTTCATGATTGTCTATGGCTTGGGGCAGAAGCTGAAGTGATTCCTGTGACAAAAACGAAAAAAAAAAAAAAAAAGGTTCTAATATAAGATAAAAAGGGAGGTGGAATGAGGGGTGGGGGGAACTAGTACTCTTTTTGGAAAAAACACAAAAAAGCCATTGGGGAAATCAGACCTGCATTTTTAAACCTTTCATTTTGCTTGGTCATCTGCAATTGTGGCTTGAATTATTCTTTTTTGTGCATAATCCAAGTTCTAAAGAGTTAGCTAAAATCATTTTTCACGTTGAGAGGACACCATGTAAGAATTGCTTGGTTTGGACCAAAAGTGATAATCTAGCATGGGATGTAATCAAACTGTCATCAGATGTTATGGTACGCGGCTGCTTTGCTCTTTCAGCTTTATTTGGATCTTTAACTAGTAGAGATATTTGTTATAGATTTTAATTAAAAAAAATTGCAAACCATTTGTACGAATCCACTGTTTTTCAAAAAATTAAATTAGTGCAGTAACTTTGTGTCGGTTGCAAACCCATGCCTACCTATTTTAAGATTGGTTGTGCGTTTCCTTCTTAAAGGAATAAGATCAAATTCAAATGTTGTAACCGGCAACATTATGCAAATCACTCATCAGTTTCAAAATTTGTTTTACTCACCAGTTTCAATTTTTCTTGTAACCGACGAATGTCATTTTAAATTCCAACGGTTTCTCATTTTAATTTACTCGGTTATGTTGTGTGAAGGCCTATAAGTAGGCAGCCTCCATTTGTAGAAAAAGACTGATACAATTTTCATAATCTGCACTTTCATTTTATAAACACAGTATTTTAACTCTTTTTGGGCAAGAAAAAGGTGGTGGGGTAGAGCTTTCTTTACAAGAATGTAGTACTTGTAAAGATACAATGAGGAAAGGTTGGGCTATTGTATCTTAAGGGCAGCGTGACCATAAAAAATTGTTGCACCAGTTGTACGAAACGTTCTAAAGAGAATAATTTAATCCATGCCTTAACTCAAGATACTCATACTTTCGGTAACATCCTTCAACTTTTAATCTTTAATTAATTGTTTTTGCTAATCTTTTGTCTATTTTTTCTTCTACTTATTTTACGAGAAACAACAATATTTAGGAAATCAAAATAAGTAGATATTGGTCCTCAAGTCATTTTAACCGAGTTTCATGTCTACTTAATAATAGGAAATGTATTTGCCAGGATAGTTGCTGTCACCTTCATCTTAAGATTATTGTTTCTAGCTGGATTTAGGTTTGTTTTCATAAATCCCTTTTAAATTGAACTGGGAGGTCTGCCTTATCTAGTGGCACCTATTTTGCAGTCCAATCCGGTTGACATTGTAAAACGGAGAAGTCTAAATAAAATACTATTTCTTTTGTTTATTTTTTTTGAACTCAGTAAAATTTGTTAAATTAAAACATAGCCATACGGCATCTATAGAAAGGATTTTCATCACAGTGATAAGAACACATGATAGATAAAAAAAAAAAATCCAACTAGAGACAACAATCAGAGTAAATCAAGTTCACCAAAGAACAAATATAAAAAAGGACAGTGAAAATCACACGAACAATCTCTAAGGAACATGAGGTTTACAAATTCTTTTGGTTGACTATTCCAAAATCTGGACATCCTTCAATCTACCCTTGAAGATGAGTTCGGTCTTCAAGATGCCAAGGCAAGGAGATCAACGACCACCCCTAATTTATGCATAGTTGACTTGTTAGTCTCCAGATCTGAGGAAACAAACAAAGAAAATAAGAAAACAAAAAAGAAAAAAAGGAAAGGACTACTGAAGGGGCACCAAAAAAAACCAATAGACCACTCAAGGTGGTCATCGGACACTGGAGGACGATAAGTTGGCTCTATCGTGCATGAGAAGTCGGGTCAGCACCCAAAAGCCCGTGAAACCAAAGGCTTCCGAGCACCAAAAAACAAAAAAACCAAGCTTGGGGACGGTGTAGTCAGAAGGAGGAGGCTTCTAGAGGAGAGGGAGAGAAAGATTAATTCCTTTTCTTTTTGTTTATTTTTAATAGTTTTAATTTAACTCTTTGACTTTTTATGTATAGATTTTAAATTTTAAAAATAAAATTTAATATATTATGTAGATGATAATTAATTTTTTTTTTATGAAACTGAAATACTCAACAAGACTTTTATATAGAAAACAAAATTTTTTTATTTATATAAATTATCAAATTTTTAGTTAAAATTTATACCTAAAAAATTAAAAAAAAAAAACCTAAGACTGATAAAAATTAAACAATCTTATTTTATAATACAAACTGTGTAATAAAATATAAGTGATAAGGAGTGCCTCTAGTATTATACCTCAACTTTTATCAAATAATTAATATAATATAATTTAAGACAAGATAGATTACACTATTTTTTTAAAATAAAGAATGGAATATTAATATGGTTTTTTAAACGCGGGAACAAGTTGGTTCCTCCACGTGAGGATTAGATGCACCCTTAATTTCAAGGTTAATACCCAATTTGGTTCCTAAACTTTCATTTCGAAACTTAGTTCATCCTTTAACTTCAGAAGAGACCCAAACCATCCTTAAACTTTATTTTTTTAGAACCCAAATGGTCCTTCTGTCACAGAAGTGCCTAGCTGGCACATTAACTTGCCAAGAATTAATACTTTTATTTCAAAAAAATTACGTGGAAAAGAAAATAATGATTTAATCATTTTAATAAATTTAATAAAAAAAATATACAATTAAAATATTAACCCTCCTCTTATCTTCAACCCCCATCCCTCCCTGCCATTTTTGTTATTTCCCTGTTCTCCAGCACCGACATCAACACCAATCCAGCGGCATCATTCTTTCCTTTTCTCATTTTTCTCTCTACTCTCCACCCTCCTCTTTCCTCCTTCCTCATTTCCCTTTTCTTTCCCTTTTTTTTTTTTTCTTTTTCCTCTTCTTTTCTAGTTGGGGTTTAGAACCCATATTGGGATTGGGGTGAAGAAGATAAGAGAAAATGTTGAGAACAACACTCCCAGTTGCACCGTCTTCTTCTTCGACGTGTTGTCTTTCAGTTTGCAAACCTTCAATGCGGTCGTCGTCTCCCAACTTCTCTTCTGTTCTCATCAATGGCGACGATACCAGTGATTCCAACAGTAACAATCCTTCTCGAAGACTCACTCTCTTTCAACTTGGCACCGGTGAGCGATTTTTTTGTGGCTTTATATACTTAAATCCTTTGATAGAAAAGTAGATTTTGTTTTTTACTTGAGGATTGCGATGGAAATTTGTGTTTGGTTGCTAAGAAACTGTGGAAACTAGAAAGGAAAACGAACTTATTAGTAGTATGCCCTAGGTTGGCTTAATTCCTCAATATTTTTGTTGCATTTTTGTTTGAAGTTGTGTGGAGCTGATGCAGTGAAAATGGAGTTGAATCGGCGCTTCTATCGACTGAGATCTTAGCCGATTTTAGCTTTTTTTGTCCCTTTGCAATGAGTATAGCAGCTTGTAAAGGAGTTATTCTCCTGATTTGGTTGAATCCCCAACTTATAAAACCAAACGATTCTAGAATTCATTTATGTAATTATTTTATGTGGATGCCAGATTCGGCTTTAAACGATCTTAACGAAGATATTCGCGGCGAAGAAAGAGGCGCGGCGCCGAGACTCGAGCAGACGGATCGTTGATGAAAGCATGATCGTTCTTTGGAAGAGGATTCATGAGATGAAGATGATTGAGAGGAACTACGAGCTGCTTGCGGACTGGATGGATTGGGAGAAACGTGTCTATACAAGCTACGATTCGATGATTTGTGAGATCATGGGAGTGTTGTAGTCGCAGTTGATGAACACTCGCCCTAGTGTCACGTTGGGGATGATGGTCCTGATTGCGCTCAGCTTGCTGATCTCTACTGCCGTGGTTTTCTCTCAATTGACGGAGATGGCAAAGGGGATTTTGGCCGCTGGCATTGATGCTGTATTTTGAGAAATTGAAATTACAAAATCATCATTTTTTTTCCACGTAATTTTTCTAAAATAAAAGTATTAATTCGTGGCAAGTTAACGAGCCAGCTGGGCACTTCTGTGACGGAAGGACCATTTGGGTTCTAAAAAAATAAAGTTTAAGGATGGTTTGGGTCCCTTCTGAAGTTAAAGGATGAACTAAGTTTCGAAATGAAAGTTAAGGGACCAAATTGGGTATTAAACCTAATTTGAATAACGGATAAAGGCGGAAGTAATCCTCTGCGTCACCAATACTAAAATGTCTCACCAGAACGACAAGCTCATCTTGTCTAAAAAGTCAAAAACGGTAGAAACAAAATCTAAAACGGTGGCGTGGCTTCATCTGGTTGGTCATATTTTTCACACAAAAAACTGCGGACGTCGGCAAATTCTGCGCCGTAAACTGAACCGAAGAAAACAGATTTCGTGTTTCCTTCATGATCCAACTACCTCTTCCTTCCTGACATCTACCACGTCTTTAAGAACGGAAAAATTTATCGAAAGCAACAACGAATCTTGTGAATCCGATAAACGAATCTCATCTCTGAAACTGAGAAAGAAAAGTTACCCTGTTTGGTAACTCAGAAAATTGGTCCTTTTTTGTTTTTTCTATTTCTCGTTTTCAACTTCAGTTGTTCGGTTTGATTCAGGGAGGGGGAGTCGGTGGAAGAAAGGAACAACGATGGGGAAAGATACCCGCGGCCCTTGGTTTCACGAGAAAATCGTCGATCCTCTTCTCCAGATACTCCGAAAGTAATTCATTTTCGTTCTCAAGTTTGATAATTAGATTTTGTTTTTGAGATACTCTGGGGGTAAAAAAGTAGCAGCTTTGATGGTTTATTGATTGAACTTGCTTCATGTATTTCTTTTTCTTAATTGATTTGGCAGGGGAGCGGAGCCGAAGCAGTTGGCGTTCTCGGTAGCTTTGGGTATCACCATGGGGATATTTCCTATATGTGGTAAGATGATTTTACATTCAGGTTTTATTGCTTGGGATTTAAAGCTTGAATCATATATCAAAATTTTTGGGATTATTTTCTTATTTTCATCTAAGGATATCTTTTGTTATGCGGGTTTGTTTTCTTTCCATTATTTGATTTAAGTGTCAAAAATGGTGCGGATTAGTTTCTACAATCAGATTATGTTCCATTCTCTATGCCTTGGTTGAGTGTCGACAAGGGCTGTTGGATGTCTGCTACAGTTACTGAAATGAACCAGTGTGATGTTTACAGGGGTCACAGTGTTGCTTTGTGGGATGGCTATTGCAGTGGTTGGATCTCTCTGCCATTCTCCTACCGTGATGCTTGCTAATTTTGTAGCTACTCCGATAGAATTGAGGTACCATTTGATGACTTTTTTTGTTTTAAATCTCCACAAAGGTGATGCAGAAAAGTTCCACCCTTCTAAAGGAAATGACAATGAAAATGGATTTTTGTTTTTTATTTTGGTACATTTGAGAAATGGGCTAAGTTTCAATAAAAATTTTTATGAAACTTTTATGGGAAGAGAAAATGATTGTACTGCTTACATGATTCTGCTTCATTAATATAATCTGACTCACTAGTTATTAGTATTAATTTGACCAAGGATTAGATGTATATGCTTGTATGAGAGGAACAACTTCACCTCACTTTTGCTTAGCGTTTTTATTGCTCTATCCCGATTTCCTTTTACCTGTTTTGTTTTTCAAGTCTGGTGGTGCCCTTCTTGCGTTTTGGTGAAATGATCTCTGGTGGACCTCATTTTCCATTAACTTCTGATGCTCTGAAGAAGGTTGTGACTGGCCAAGCTTCATGGGATGTCATATTGAGTATTGCCCATGCTGTAAGTGGCCAAAATTTGTAACTTCCAAGCTTTAATATTTCGTCTGTAATTATGCACCCACTAGCATGCATTCACCTATGCAAATTTATGAACATCCTCCCCACACATAGCTCTCTTTAATTTGATACTGTGGCCATAATTTTTGTCTTATGGTGATTAAGGCATTTCTTTTGATTCATTCATTCATTGTACACATGATACAAAGCAACCTTTTGTATCATTATGTTTTAGGTGATAAATTTACATGTTACCTAAAAAAAAAGGACAGTTGTAGAATTGTTGAATAAACTACAGTTCAAGGTTACAGATCAATTTTTTAAATGAAAAAGAGGTGAATACCAGTTCATAAGGCCATGCTTTAATCATCATAGTTATCCTATATGATTGTTCAAACTTGCGACTCTGGACTCCCTGGAGTTTGCTTCATAAAATTTAATGCAAAACTGTGGACTTTAATCTGTAAAATTTATGACAGTGAATGTACGTTGAAACTTCTATCATCAACTAGTTGTAGTTGCACTATCATGCTGTAGTTATCTAGTGTGGTTTGTTAAAGGTCAATTGTGAAAATTTTCTCATGAATTTTTTGCAGTTGTTGGGATGGCTTGTTGCAGCACCCTTTATTTTGGCCATACTCTACGTCCTATTTTTGCCTATTTTCAAGGTTCTGGTTCCCAAGTTCAGCACTATTCCTTTAAGTCCAATGAAGTCATTTCCTTTGCATTCAGAGGTTGCACTTAAGGTGAGAGATGCTTGATTAAGTCTGTAACATGTATATTTTCTTTAGTTCTATTGATAGAGAATTGTACATAAATTCTCTCTTGAGCATAGCATGGCTGTGATGCTTTATGATCTTGTGTACCCTGTACTGTTGTAAACCTTGCCTCCAGATAAAAATTTGTGAAATTGGACAAATCAATGGCTGACGATCATGGTAGATAAGCGATATTTATGAGAGGGAACTTATGCCAGCCTTCTAGATATCTCTACATCAGTCGATATTTTAACATGCTTATCACCTCATTTATCTTGCAGAATTCAGAAGAATCCTGCATTCTTTGCTTGTAAATTAGCAAAATTACTTAGTCTCGAAGCATAAAGGTTTATCAAACCATCAGTAGAGAGCGAGTCTCTTTCCTTTTTCTGGATGACCCTTGGTTTCAAAAATCACTCCACATTCTTTAAACAATTTATGATCCAAGTATATAATCCATGGGATTGATTGTATGTATGTATGATCCATAATCGATATTCAATGCATGTTCTTCTTATGTCTCAGTAACTGAAGTGGTGAGCAAAAATTTACTCTAGGATGTTTTCTAGCAGTTAAATTTCTGGTATAAGCAGTGTTGTAATGCATTCTTTTCCTCCAACTTTACATTCGTGGTTTCTTGTGTGCTTTGATGCCAAAAGGAAATGGAGGACCTGAAATTTCCAGTGAAAATGGCACGGTCAGTAGGAATGATATGCAAACCCAGGGTGGTTCAGCTGGACTGCCGCTGTTAGAACAGTACATGTGTCTTCTGGAACATATTTTGTGCACTGCTGGTTTAGTGGGGGATTGCATCCTCAGAGGGACTCTAGAGTCTAGACCTTATCTTTATGCCTCAAGTAAAGGGTAGTGACAAAATCGGGGGCAATGTTATGGCACTAACAAAAATGTTAAGACTATCAAAATTATAAAATATTGTTTTTAAAAATATTAATTTTGTTTAATTTAATTGATAAAAATAATTAATAATTATAATTATTAACTAATAATTAATAAAATAATTAATATTTATTAATTAAGAAATTAAAATTAATCAACAAATTATTATATTTAGATACTGCTTACAAATAAAAACTAAAATTTTAATGATCTTGTTTCTTCAAAAATCTTTTTGTTGATTCACACATGTGGAATTTGAATGCGACGTGCCACTTTCTTTATTGAAAGTAAGAAATAAGGATTTTCCTAACAATCCTCTCCTTCCTCAAATTTAACTTCCTTGAGATGACAGGAAGAACGTTGGTTTAAAATTAAAATTTGTAAGAAAGAGTGATGCCTTTCGGTAAAATGGGTTACTAAATTTGTCTTAGAAAACTTCAAGGACAATTTAAAGGGTTTAAACACTATCGTGAATTAGAGTTAACAAATCATAATTAAACTAAATAGCATGCAATTTAAAATAAATTTACGAGAATAAGATGTACTCAAATTAAATTAAACATGTTCATTGTCAAATTAAAATGTTATTTATTGACAAATCTTGAAATTAAACTATCGCATAATTGGAGATTTAATCCTAATTAACACTAAAACAAACATGAATAGGAATTAAACTAATATATTCGAAATTGAGAAGAAACGTAAACACCATATAAGTAATCATTTGAAGAAATGTTACTTATTATAAATATTAAACTAACTATAGTCAGAAAAGGAACATTACCCTAAAGAAATTCAAAAGCTTGAAGTTCATTACATGAAACGAAATTGTTGAAGTGAATACATGAACTGCTTCAACTGCTGGAATGATGAAAAACAATTTAAATCTACTGGGAATTGTACTGAAATTCAAAATCTATAAGTAAGAGTGAGCAATTGCAAAGAAATTGAAAATCTGAAAATTTGCAGGTTGTGTATAGGAGCTGGACGTGTGTTCTGTAATCCAAAATTTTCTTTTTGTTCCCCTTTTCCCAACTACAACGCCTCACTTTTTGTAGTTACAAAAATTATGTGCAGTTTTCTTAAAGAAGTGGGACACCTTAGCAGTCGACAGGGTCAGACTCCCTTTTAGATTTCGTCACATGTCCCATTATCTGATAACCCACACCCATAATTGAAACTTTCTCCCATATTTCAACTAACACTGTTTCCTCAAAAATCCTTTATTTTAGGTGTAAACAAACACAAAGCCAATTTAACTCAAAAAGATAATTAAGAGATAAAATCTCATCTTTTTAACTTATTTCATCAAATGTGGTAGCTAATTTGTCATAGGGTTTAGAATTATATATTTGACATGGTTAAATTTCTTCCATTCATTTAAAAATTTTTAATACGTGACATGATTTTAAATTTTTACAATTTATAATGTATTTATAGTGTAAACGAATCACAATATTTTTTTTTATAGTGACATTAACCACACCCCTATGAATACGACGTCAATAGACAAAATTCACACAGGCGGCTTCACTTTTTGGGTTGGATTCGGTGGAGCTTCAGTATCTGCTCCCCTTTTCTTACCTGTGTACAAAGTTTGTAGAAGGCATTTAAAAATAGAATCTGCTTTGGTTTCATGGAATTAACGTCAAAACATGGTCTAATGGTATGGTGGTATCATCAGTTAATTTTTACACATTATATTAAGTTTATCTTCTTTCCTTAGTCAAAAATAAACTATAAACCGTACCAAAAAAAGAAAAAGAAAAAGAAAAAACTATACACTTTAAAACTATAAAACTAATGGAGAATGATTCCTTAATAAGAAGTCGAACTTTGGTAACTGAAGAATATTTTTCTTGAAATCTATTTTGTTGAGAAAAAACATTAAAAAAAATCTGCATATGCAGTGGTTGATTTACATTAAAGGATGCTAAAATGAGGCAGTCACGCAAGTAAATGTCGAAAAAATTATTAAAAAAAAGGCTGATGCTCAATGTTATTATTATTATTATTTTAAATAACTGCAAATAGAATTATTCTTTTTTTTTTTTTTTTTGAGGAAGCAAATAGAATTATTCTTTGATACCGGATTACAAGTTACATCTCTAGCCCATCATCACGGATCTGAAAGTTCTGATTTTTAATTTGATGAGAGATAATA